ACAGAACGAGATGAGGATGGTCGTTGTCATTTTCTGAGCTGCGAACGGGCAGAAAGGTGAGAAAATGTCGGATTTTGACCATTTGTGCTGACCTTTCAATTTCAACGTACCTCTCTATAACATGACCCAGCTGCAAATTCAGTGGTCGCATTGGTTTCATTTTTGGTGTGCTTCTAGGGCGCTGGCACCCACATTCAGTGACCCAGAAAATTTGGAACTGCTGTGAATAGTTTAGTCGCAAAGTGAAGATTCACGGGTAAAAAGCCCCAAACTTCTAGATAGGTTCTTTTTCAGCTTTCAGCAGCCCTGGGTGAGTTCTTTAGAGAAATGTGGCTCTTTTTCATGGTGCTATTTTCTATGTCTAGCTACACAACGAGATGAGGATGGTCATTGTCATTTTCTGAGCTGCGAACGGGCAGAAAGGTGAGAAAATGTCGGATTTTGACCATTTGTGCTGACCTTTCAATTTCAACGTACCTCTCTATAACATGACCCAGCTGCAATTTCAGTGGTCGCATTGGTTTAGCTTTCAGCAGCCCTGGGCGAGTTCTTTAGAGAAATGTGTGTCTTTTTCTTGGTGCTCTTGTCTATGTCCAGCTACACAACGAGATGAGGATGGTCATTGTCATTTTCTGAGCTGTGAACGGGCAGAAAGGTGAGAAAATGTCGGATTTTGACCATTTGTGCTGACCTTTCAATTTCAACGTACCTCTCTATAACATGACCCAGCTGTAATTTCAGTGGTCGCATTGGTTTCATTTTTGGTTTGCTTGTAGGGCGCTGGCACCCGCATTCAGTGACCCAGAAAATTTGGCACTGCTGTGAATAGTTTAGTCGCAAAGTGAAGATTCACGGGTAAAAAGCCCCAAACTTCTAGATAAGTTCTTTTTCAGCTTTCAGCAGCCCTGGGTGAGTTCTTTAGAGAAATGTGGCTCTTTTCATGGTGCTATTTTCTATGTCCAGCTACACAACGAGATGAGGATGGTCATTGTCATTTTCTGAGCTGCGAACGGGCAGAAAGGTGAGAAAATGTCGGATTTTGACCATTTGTGCTGACCTTTCAATTTCAACGTACCTCTCTATAACATGACACAGCTGTAATTTCAGTGGTCGCATTGGTTTCATTTTTGGTGTGCTTGTAGGGCGCTGGCACCCGCATTCAGTGACCCAGAAAATTTGGCACTGCTGTGAATAGTTTAGTCGCAAAGTGAAGATTCACGGGTAAAAAGCCCCAAACTTCTAGATAGGTTCTTTTTCAGCTTTCAGCAGCCCTGGGTGAGTTCTTTAGAGAAATGTGGCTCTTTTTCATGGTGCTATTTTCTATGTCCAGCTACACAACGAGATGAGGATTTTCATTGTCATTTTCTGAGCTGCGAACGGGCAGAAAGGTGAGAAAATGTCGGATTTTGACCATTTGTGCTGACCTTTCAATTTCAACGTACCTCTCTATAACATGACCCAGCTGTAATTTCAGTGGTCGCATTGGTTTCATTTTTGGTTTGCTTGTAGGGCGCTGGCACCCGCATTCAGTGACCCAGAAAATTTGGCACTGCTGTGGATAGTTTAGTCGCAAAGTGAAGATTCACAGGTAAAAAGCCCCAAACTTCTAGATAGGTTCTTTTTCAGCTTTCAGCAGCCCTGGGTAAGTTCTTTAGAGAAATGTGGCTCTTTTTCATGGTGCTATTTTCTATGTCCAGCTACACAACGAGATGAGGATGGTCATTGTCATTTTCTGAGCTGCGAACGGGCAGAAAGGTGAGAAAATGTCGGATTTTGACCATTTGTGCTGACCTTTCAATTTCAACGTACCTCTCTATAACATGACCCAGCTGCAATTTCAGTGGTCGCATTGGTTTAATTTTTGGTTTGCTTGTAGGGCGCTGGCACCCGCATTCAGTGACCCACAAAATTTGGCACTGCTGTGGATAGTTTAGTCGCAAAGTGAAGATTCACGGGTAAAAAGCCCCAAACTTCTAGATAAGTTCTTTTTCAGCTTTCAGCAGCCCTGGGTGAGTTCTTTAGAGAAATGTGGCTCTTTTTCATGGTGCTATTTTCTATGTCCAGCTACACAACGAGATGAGGATTTTCATTGTCATTTTCTGAGCTGCGAACGGGCAGAAAGGTGAGAAAATGTCGGATTTTGACCATTTGTGCTGACCTTTCAATTTCAACGTACCTCTCTATAACATGACCCAGCTGTAATTTCAGTGGTCGCATTGGTTTCATTTTTGGTTTGCTTGTAGGGCGCTGGCACCCGCATTCAGTGACCCAGAAAATTTGGCACTGCTGTGGATAGTTTAGTCGCAAAGTGAAGATTCACGGGTAAAAAGCCCCAAACTTCAAGATAGGTTCTTTTTCAGCTTTCAGCAGCCCTGGGCGCGTTCTTTAGAGAAATGTGGGTCTTTTTCATGGTGCTATTTTCTATGTCCAGCTACACAACGAGATGAGGATGGTCATTGTCATTTTCTGAGCTGCGAACGGGCAGAAAGGTGAGAAAATGTCTGATTTTGACCATTTGTGCTGACCTTTCAATTTCAACGTACCTCTCTATAACATGACCCAGCTGTAATTTCAGTGGTCGCATTGGTTTGATTTTTGGTTTGCTTGTAGGGCGCTGGCACCCGCATTCAGTGACCCAGAAAATTTGGCACTGCTGTGGATAGTTTAGTCGCAAAGTGAAGATTCACGGGTAAAAAGCCCCAAACTTCAAGATAGGTTCTTTTTCAGCTTTCAGCAGCCCTGGGTGAGTTCTTTAGAGAAATGTGGGTCTTTTTCTTGGTGTTCTTGTCTATGTCCAGCTACACAACGAGATGAGGATGGTCATTGTCATTTTCTGAGCTGCGAACGGGCAGAAAGGTGAGAAAATGTCGGATTTTGACCATTTGTGCTGACCTTTCAATTTCAACGTACCTCTCTATAACATGACCCAGCTGTAATTTCAGTGGTCGCATTGGTTTCATTTTTGGTGTGCTTGTAGGGCGCTGGCACCCGCATTCAGTGACCCAGAAAATTTGGCACTGCTGTGAATAGTTCAGTCGCAAAGTGAAGATTCACGGGTAAAAAGCCCCAAACTTCTAGATAGGTTCCTTTTCAGCTTTCAGCAGCCCTGGGCGAGTACTTTAGAGAAATGTGGCTCTTTTTCATGGTGCTCTTGTCTATGTCCAGCTACACAACGAGATGAGGATGGTCATTGTCATTTTCTGAGCTGCGAACGGGCAGAAAGATGAGAAAATGTCGGATTTTGACCATTTGTGCTGACCTTTCAATTTCAACGTACCTCTCTATAACATGACCCAGCTGTAATTTCAGTGGTCGCATTGGTTTCATTTTTGGTTTGCTTGTAGGGCGCTGGAACCCGCATTCAGTGACCCAGAAAATATGGCACTGCTGTGGATAGTTTAGTCGCAAAGTGAAGATTCACGGGTAAAAAGCCCCAAACTTCTAGATAAGTTCTTTTTCAGCTTTCAGCAGCCCTGGGTGAGTTCTTTAGAGAAATGTGGCTCTTTTTCATGGTGCTATTTTCTATGTCCAGCTACACAACGAGATGAGGAAGGGTCATTGTCATTTTCTGAGCTGCGAACGGGCAGAAAGGTGAGAAAATGTCTGATTTTGACCATTTGTGCTGACCTTTCAATTTCAACGTACCTCTCTATAACATGACCCAGCTGTAATTTCAGTGGTCGCATTGGTTTCATTTTTGGTGTGCTTGTAGGGCGCTGGCACCCGCATTCAGTGACCCAGAAAATTTGGCACTGCTGTGAATAGTTCAGTCGCAAAGTGAAGATTCACGGGTAAAAAGCCCCAAACTTCTAGATAGGTTCCTTTTCAGCTTTCAGCAGCCCTGGGCGAGTACTTTAGAGAAATGTGGCTCTTTTTCATGGTGCTCTTGTCTATGTTCAGCTACACAACGAGATGAGGATGGTCATTGTCATTTTCTGAGCTGCGAACGGGCAGAAAGATGAGAAAATGTCGGATTTTGACCATTTGTGCTGACCTTTCAATTTCAACGTACCTCTCTATAACATGACCCAGCTGTAATTTCAGTGGTCGCATTGGTTTCATTTTTGGTTTGCTTGTAGGGCGCTGGCACCCGCATTCAGTGACCCACAAAATTTGGCACTGCTGTGGATAGTTTAGTCGCAAAGTGAAGATTCACGGGTAAAAAGCCCCAAACTTCTAGATAAGTTCTTTTTCAGCTTTCAGCAGCCCTGGGTGAGTTCTTTAGAGAAATGTGGCTCTTTTTCATGGTGCTATTTTCTATGTCCAGCTACACAACGAGATGAGGAAGGGTCATTGTCATTTTCTGAGCTGCGAACGGGCAGAAAGGTGAGAAAATGTCTGATTTTGACCATTTGTGCTGACCTTTCAATTTCAACGTACCTCTCTATAACATGACCCAGCTGTAATTTCAGTGGTCGCATTGGTTTGATTTTTGGTTTGCTTGTAGGGCGCTGGCACCCGCATTCAGTGACCCAGAAAATTTGGCACTGCTGTGGATAGTTTAGTCGCAAAGTGAAGATTCACGGGTAAAAAGCCCCAAACTTCTAGATAGGTTCTTTTTCAGCTTTCAGCAGCCCTGTGTGAGTTCTGTAGAGAAATGTGGCTTTTTTAGTGGTGCTAATTTCTATGTCCAGCTGCACAACGAGATGAGGATGGTCAATGTCATTTTCTGAGCTGCGAACGGGCAGAAAGGTGAGAAAATGTCGGATTTTGACCATTTGTGCTGACCTTTCAATTTCAACGTACCTCTCTATAACATGACCCAGCTGTAATTTCAGTGGTCGCATTGGTTTCATTTTTGGTTTGCTTGTAGGGCGCAGGCACCCGCATTCAGTGACCCAGAAAATTTGGCACTGCTGTGAATAGTTTAGTCGCAAAGTGAAGATTCACGGGTAAAAAGCCCCAAACTTCTAGATAGGTTCTTTTTCAGCTTTCAGCAGCCCTGGGCGAGTTCTTTAGAGAAATGTGGCTCTTTTCTTGGTGCTCTTGTCTTTGTCCAGCTAACCAACGAGATGAGGATGGTCATTGTCATTTTCTAAGCTGCGAACGGGCAGAAAGGTGAGAAAATGTCGGATTTTGACCATTTGTGCTGACCTTTCAATTTCAACATACCTCTCTATAACATGACCCAGCTGTAATGCCATCGGTCGCATTGGTTTCATTTTTGGTTTGCTTGTAGGGCGCTGTCACCCACAGTCAGTGACCCTAAAAATTTGGCACTGCTGTGAATAGTTTATTCGCAAAGTGAAGATTCACGGGTAAAAAGCCCCAAACTTCTAGATAGGTTCTTTTTCAGCTTTCAGCAGCCCTGGGCGAGTTCTTTAGAGAAATGTGGGTCTTTTTCTTGGTGCTCTTGTCTATGTCCAGCTACACAACGAGATGAGGATGGTCATTGTCATTTTCTGAGCTGCGAACGGGCAAAAAGGTGAGAAAATGTCGGATTTTGACCATTTGTGCTGACCTTTCAATTTCAACGTACCTCTCTATAACATGACCCAGCTGCAATATCAGTGGTCGCATTGGTTTGATTTTTGGTTTGCTTGTAGGGCGCTGGCACCCGCATTCAGTGACCCAGAAAATTTGGCACTGCTGTGGATAGTTTAGTCGCAAAGTAAAGATTCACGGGTAAAAAGCCCCATACTTCTAGATAGGTTCTTTTTCAGCTTTCAGCAGCCCTGGGCGAGTTCTTTAGAGAAATGTGGCTCTTTTTCATGGTGCTATTTTCTATGTCCAGCTACACAACGAGATGAGGATGGTCATTGTCATTTTCTGAGCTGCGAACGGGCAGAAAGGTGAGAAAATGTCGGATTTTGACCATTTGTGCTGACCTTTCAATTTCAACGCACCTCTCTATAACATGACCCAGCTGTAATTTCAGTGGTCGCATTGGTTTGATTTTTGGTTTGCTTGTAGGGCGCTGGCACCCGCATTCAGTGACCCAGAAAATTTGGCAATGCTGTGAATAGTTTAATCGCAAAGTGAAGATTCACGGGTAAAAAGCCCCAAACTTCAAGATAGGTTCTTTTTTCAGCTTTCAGCAGCCCTGGGCGAGTTCTTTAGAGAAATGTGGGTCTTTTTCTTTGTGCTCTTGTCTATGTCGAGCTACAGAACGAGATGAGGATGGTCATTGTCATTTTCTGAGCTGCGAACGGGCAGAAAGGTGAGAAAATGTCGGATTTTGACCATTTGTGCTGACCTTTGAATTTCAACGTACCTCTCTATAACATGACCCAGCTGTAATTTCAGTGGTCGCATTGGTTTCATTTTTGGTTTGCTTGTAGGGCGCTGGCACCCGAATTCAGTGACCCAGAAAATTTAGCACTGCTCTGAATACTTTAGTCGCAAAGTGAAGATTCACGGGTAAAAAGCCCTAAACTTCTAGATAGGTTCTTTTTCAGCTTTCAGCAGCCCTGGGTGAGTTCTTTAGAGAAATGTGGCTCTTTTTCATGGTGCTATTTTCTATGTCCAGCTACACAACGAGATGAGGATGGTCATTGGCATTTTCTGAGCTGCGAACGGGCAGAAAGGTGAGAAAATGTCGGATTTTGACCATTTGTGCTGACCTTTCAATTTCAACGTACCTCTCTATAACATGACCCAGCTGCAATTTCAGTGGTCGCATTGGTTTCATTTTTGGTGTGCTTGTAGGGCGCTGGCACCCGCATTCAGTGACCCAGAAAATTTGGCACTGCTGTGGATAGTTTAGTCGCAAAGTGAAGATTCACGGGTAAAAAGCACCAAACTTCTAGATAAGTTCTTTTTCAGCTTTCAGCAGCCCTGGGTGAGTTCTTTAGAGAAATGTGGCTCTTTTTCATGGTGCTATTTTCTATGTCCAGCTACACAACGAGATGAGGATGGTCATTGTCATTTTCTGAGCTGCAAACGGGCAGAAAGGTGAGAAAATGTCGGATTTTGACCATTTGTGCTGACCTTTCAATTTCAACGTACCTCTCTATAATATGACCCAGCTGTAATTTCAGTGGTCGCATTGGTTTGATTTTTGGTTTGCTTGTAGGGCGCTGGCACCTGCATTCAGTGACCCAGAAAATTTGGCACTGCTGTGAATAGTTTAGTCGCAAAGTGAAGATTCACGGGTAAAAAGCCCCAAACTTCTAGATAAGTTCTTTTTCAGCTTTCAGCAGCCCTGGGTGAGTTCTTTAGAGAAATGTGGCTCTTTTTCATGGTGCTATTTTCTATGTCCAGCTACACAACGAGATGAGGATGGTCATTGTCATTTTCTGAGCTGCGAACGGGCAGAAAGGTGAGAAAATGTCGGATTTTGACCATTTGTGCTGACCTTTCAATTTCAACGTACCTCTCTATAACATGACCCAGCTGTAATTTCAGTGGTCGCATTGGTTTCATTTTTGGTGTGCTTGTAGGGCGCTGGCACCCGCATTCAGTGACCCAGAAAATTTGGCACTGCTGTGGATAGTTTAGTCGCAAAGTGAAGATTCACGGGTAAAAAGCCCCAAACTTCTAGATAGGTTCTTTTTCAGCTTTCAGCAGCCCTGGGCGAGTTCTTTAGAGAAATGTGGCTCTTTTTCATGGTGCTATTTTCTATGTCCAGCTACACAACGAGATGAGGATGGTCATTGTCATTTTCTCAGCTGCGAACGGGCAGAAAGGTGAGAAAATGTCGGATTTTGACCATTTGTGCTGACCTTTCAATTTCAACGTACCTCTCTATAACATGACCCAGCTGTAATTTCAGTGGTCGCATTGGTTTGATTTTTGGTTTGCTTTTAGGGCGCTGGCACCCGCATGCAGTGACCCAGAAAATTTGGCACTGCTGTGAATAGTTTAGTCGCAAAGTGAAGATTCACGGGTAAAAAGCCCCAAACTTCTAGATAGGTTCTTTTTCAGCTTTCAGCAGCCCTGGGTAAGTTCTTTAGAGAAATGTGGGTCTTTTTCTTCGTGCTCTTGTCTATGTCCAGCTACACAACGAGATGAGGATGGTCATTGTCATTTTCTGAGCTGCGAACGGGCAGAAAGGTGAGAAAATGTCGGATTTTGACCATTTGTGCTGACCTTTCAATTTCAACGTACCTCTCTATAACATGACCCAGCTGTAATTTCAGTGGGCGGATTGGTTTCATTTTTGGTTTGCTTGTAGGGCGCTGGCACCCGCATTCAGTGACCAAGAAAATTTGGCACTGCTGTGGATAGTTTAGTCGCAAAGTGAAGATTCACGGGTAAAAAGCCCCAAACTTCTAGATAGGTTCTTTTTCAGCTTTCAGCAGCCCTGGGTGAGTTCTTTAGAGAAATGTGGCTCTTTTTCATGGTGCTATTTTCTATGTCCAGCTACACAACGAGATGAGGATGGTCATTGTCATTTTCTGAGCTGCCAACAGGCAGAAAGGTGAGAAAATGTCGGATTTTGACCATTTGTGCTGACCTTTCAATTTCAACGTACCTCTCTATAACATGACCCAGCTGCAATTTCAGAGGTCGCATTGGTTTCATTTTTGGTGTGCTTGTAGGGCGCTGGCACCCGCATTCAGTGACCCACAAAATTTGGCACTGCTGTGGATAGTTTAGTCGCAAAGTGAAGATTCACGGGTGAAAAGCCCCAAACTTCTAGATAAGTTCTTTTTCAGCTTTCAGCAGCCCTGGGTGAGTTCTTTAGGAAAATGTTGCTCTTTTTCATGGTGCTATTTTCTATGTCCAGCTACACAACGAGATGAGGATGGTCATTGTCATTTTCTGAGCTGCGAACGGGCAGAAAGGTGAGAAAATGTCGGATTTTGACCATTTGTGCTGACCTTTCAATTTCAACGTACCTCTCTATAACACGACCCAGCTGTAATTTTAGTGGTCGCATTGGTTTCATTTTTGGTTTGCTTGTAGGGCGCTGGCACCCGCATTCAGTGACCCAGAAAATTTGCCACTGCTGTGAATAATAATAAAATAAAAATAATAATAAATTTCACGGTTCGCGTGAGACTCGGCTGGAAGCCGAGTTTTCCGCATCCGCCGTGGGAACGCCACCACCCTCTAGGATCAAAGGCGCAGATGCAGCGCCTAAACGGTGGGAGGTGAGTAGATCAGACCCACCACCAAGTGGTCAAAGACCGAAATCCCATTAGCTGCATCCATGTTACCCTCGTGCCAGGCCACGAGTTCCCAATTAACTGTGGGTCGCAGCACGGCTGGAAAAATTCCTTCCGCTTCCAAGCAGGACTTGAACCTGGTACCCTCTGTTTCTCAATCATGGTCTTAGACCATCCCACTATGCCTGCTGTGAATAGTTTAGTCGCAAAGTGAAGATTCACGGGTAAAAAGCCCCAAACTTCAAGATAGGTTCTTTTTCAGCTTTCAGCAGCCCTGGGCGAGTTCTTTAGAGAAATGTGGGTCTTTTTCTTGGTGTTCTTGTCTATGTCCAGCTACACAACGAAGATGAGGATGGTCATTGTCATTTTCTGAGCTGCGAACGGGCAGAAAGGTGAGAAAATGTCGGATTTTGACCATTTGTGCAGACCTTTCAATTTCAACGTACCTCTCTATAACATGACCCAGCTGTAATTTCAGTGGTCGCATTGGTTTCATTTTTGGTTTGCTTGTAGGGCGCTGGCACCCGCATTCAGTGACCCAGAAAATTTGGCACTGCTGTGGATAGTTTAGTCGCAAAGTGAAGATTCACGGGTAAAAAGCCCCAAACTTCTAGATAGGTTCTTTTTCAGCTTTCAGCAGCCCTGGGTAAGTTCTTTAGAGAAATGTGGCTCTTTTTCATGGTGCTATTTTCTATGTCCAGCTACACAACGAGATGAGGATGGTCATTGTCATTTTCTGAGCTGCGAACGGGCAGAAAGGTGAGAAAATGTCGGATTTTGACCATTTGTGCTGACCTTTCAATTTCAACGTACCTCTCTATAACATAACCCAGCTGCAATTTCAGTGGTCGCATTGGTTTAATTTTTGGTTTGCTTGTAGGGCGCTGGCACCCGCATTCAGTGACCCAGAAAATTTGGCACTGCTGTGGATAGTTTAGTCGCAAAGTGAAGATTCACGGGTAAAAAGCCCCAAACTTCTAGATAAGTTCTTTTTCAGCTTTCAGC